TGCTGAAGTGAGAATCTCTGCTGCCTTGTTAAGCAAGTCAGGAATAAGTCAAAGAGTGAGATACAGAAAAACCTGGTGTCTGCAGTAATCACCTACATCAGGAAGATAGCCAATTACTTGCAAACAGTTGTATAGCAGACAAGAGTGTATACAAAAATATGTATTTTGGGAGGAATGTCAACTAAAATGTTGCAGAATTTTCAAGGGATTTATTTATTTTTAAGTATAGTGGAACCTCGGGTTACGTACCGTCCTCCTTATGAACGCTTCAGGTAACGAGCTCCGCTAACCCGGAAGTAGATGCTCCTGGTTGCGAAACTTTCCCCGGGATGTGAGCGGAGGTCACGTGGCGGCAGCGGGAGGCCCCATTAGCGAAAGTGCGCCTCATGTTAAGAACGGTTTCATGTTAAGAATGGACCTCCGGCACGAATTAAGTTTGTAACCGGAGGTTACCTCGGGATGCGAACGGGATCCGTTCCGGAGCCCCATTTGCATCCCGAATGGAACGCAAGACGCAACAGCACATCTGCACATGCGCGGGTCACATTTCGCCACTACCACGCATGCGCGTGACGTCATTTGAGCATGCGCATGCACGAGTAGCGAAACCCGGAAGTAATGCGCTTCGTTACTTCCAGGTTGCCATGGAGCACAACTCAAATGTGCTCAACCCGAAGCGTGTTCAACTCGAGGTATGACTGTATATGAATCACAAGCTGATTCAAAAATGCGAGGAACTTGAGTTCATTTGAATGGAGTATCTTGGATGAGGTCTGCCCACTGCAACATTTTATTGCAGTTCGCACGTATTCATTTTCTATTGGAATCCTAATTTCTCAGAACACCTTAAGCTTACAAGATCACAGACCATTGATTTTGATTGCACCTACCCCATTCTTACTACTTGCCTACTTTTCTGTTTTTTAAAGTGCTGCAGACGGTGATCATCAGCCTGTCAAAACAAGGAGTCAAGATCCAATGACCATCTACTTTACCAGTGGAACCACGGGTTATCCCAAAATGGTGGAACACTCCTGCAGCAGTTTGGGGATTGGGCTGACAGTTGTTGGAAGGTATTTATCTCTTTCTAAATCTTTAGGGGCAACAAACACAACAGAAAGTCCTGTGGCAGTTTAAAGAATGACTATTTAATTGTGGCAGGGACGTGGGTGGCACTGTGGGTTAAACCACAGAGCCTAGGACTTGCTGATCAGAAAGTCAGCGGTTCGAATCCCTGTGATGGGGTGAGCTCCCATTGCTTGGTCCCTGCTCTTGCCAACCTAACAGTTCGAAAGCACGTCAAAGTGCAAGTAGATAAATAGGTACCGCTCCGGTGGGAAGGTAAACGGCGTTTCCGTGCGCTGCTCCGGTTCAGCAGAAGCAGCTTGGTCATGCTGGCCACATGACCTGGAAGCTGTCTGCAGACAAACGCCGGCTCCCTCGGCCAATAAAGTGAGATGAGCGCCACAACCCCAGAGTCGGTCACGACTGGACCTGATGCTCAGGGGTCCCTTTACCTTTACCTTTATTTAATTGTGGCAAGAACTTTGATAGGCATGATGGAGTTGTTGTAATCTTTGTTCTAAGCTTAAGGTACAATAAAACTGCAATTCTTAGTCATCCAAAGGAGAGCCCCCAAGCACAACATTTTAAAGTAAGTGCACATTACCACAGCTTTGAACCATTTCCATCTCTCCACCTCCCCCATTCTTGCACCTGATGTCCTTTAAGTCTTAAAATCAAAAGATCTGATCCCATATCTTGTCACCCTGTCTAGTTTGTTCCTCAAACATAAGTAAGTCTAATAAATGTAACTGAGCAGTCGTCATGTTTGCCTCCTTATTACAGGTACTGGATGGACCTGAATCCTTCCGATGTGATCTGGGGTTTCTCCGACACAGGCTGGATCAAATTCGTCTTCAGCAATTTGTACCCTTCGTGGATCCAAGGGGCGTGCATCTTTCAGCATGGCATGCTCCAGTTCGAGCCAACGACTGTTCTCAATGTAAGGCTAGCATTGCCTTATTCAAAAGGCAGGAAGCATTGGGGCAGAAGACCAAGGGGTTTGGGAGAGAAGAGATCTGAGTTTTCTCCTTGAGCTCCAAACCCAGAAGAGTGGTTGGGGAGTTGCTTTGCATTCAGAAGGTTCTAGGTTCAATGACATCTCTAGGTAGGGCTGTGAAAGATTCCCTGTCTGGAACCCTGTGGAGTTGCTTTCAATCAGCGTACAAAGCTAAGCTAGATGGACCAATCTGATGCAGTATAAGGCAGTTTCTAATCGTACTCCATAATAGCCTTTCAAGAGCTTTCTGGGGTCTCCAACAGAGGTCTTTCCCAAATACCTCCTATCTCATCCCAGGGGTGGAGAACATATGTCAGCATCAAGGCCCACACAACCTTCTGGGCAATCTCCCAAGGGCCACTTGTCAGTGGTGGGTGGGGCCAGAGGGGAAAGTGGGCAGAGCAATGTTAGCCACTTTGAGACTCCTTCGGTTAGTGATAAAGCTGGATATCAAATCCAAACTACTACTACTACTACTACTACTACTCTTCTTCTTCTTCTTCTTCTTCTTCTTCTTCTTCTTCTTCTTCTTCTTCTTCTTCTTCTTCTAGATTAAGGGAATATCCCAGCCAGGCAAAACATCCAAGAAGGGTGCATAGCAGGGCCAGGGAGGGCTGTGGCCTGGAAAGAGTTGGAGATGTACCTGGGGAGCATTCCAAGGGCCAGATAGAAAGGTCTGAAGGGCCACATTCTGCCCCAGTCTGAGGTTCCCCAGAGAGGCTAAGAATTTAACTGTGAATCTTCTGCATTCAAAGCTCTTCCACTCTTTATGAGGGAGGCAGGAAATCTGTTTCCTCCATTTCTCGGTAGAAGTAAAAACAACAATTCAAGCTTGCAGGAAAATGTTTCAGACAAAAAGTTAAAAATCAGAAATCAACCCTTGTGAGACTTCTGGAATCACATGGTGCAATAGGAATGTGTTTGTGTTTCCCCCTCTAGACCCTCACCAAGTATCCAGTGACAACTTTCTGTGGCCCCCCAACTGTTTATCGTATGCTTCTGCAGCACAACGTTGGAAGGTACAGCAAACACTGCATGGTAGCATCTGTGAATTTTAAAACTCAACACTAACTTCCTGCTTTTCTTTAAAGTGCACTTCCGAGTCCCTCTGCCTGGGTTTACAGAATCATAGATTCAAAGAACTGCAGAGTTGGAAAGGACATTGAGGGTCATCTAGTCCAACCCCCTGCCTGATTTTTCTTGCTTTTGTTTTAGCTTGTTTCCTTTTAAATTCATCTCATTATTTATATTTCTTGCTTCCTTTGGAAATATTTCATAGAATCTTAGAATTGTAGTTGAGGGGTGCCCCAAGGCTCACCTAGTCCAACCCTCTGCGGTTTCATTTTCCATTTCTTTATTTCTTGCATTTACAATATTTCCATTTTCTGCTTCTTGCTTGCACTTGATAACATTTTTTTTAAAAAAAAATTCTGAACTCAATGCCACCCTAACCTGAGCATTGGCCAAGCTGTCCGGGACTGATGGGCATTCGAGTCCAACATTACACCAGCGCTAGGTGTGCTAACTGGGATGCTATTGTACGCCTTGCTACGGAGGCAATAATCACTGTTGACTCCAAGCTTCTTCATACCCTCATGCAGATACAAGTTCAAGAGCCTGAGACGGTGTCTGAGCGGTGGGGAAGGCAACAGCCCTGAAGTGATGGAGCAGTGGAAAGCACAGACAGGAGTGGGAATCCGTGAAGGCTATGGGCAGACAGAGACGGTATGTTGGCATTTGGCCACGTTTCTATAGACAACAACAACAAACCTTTGCTTACGTGAAACACACTCAATAAACACACAAGATGTAACCGGCTGTACTTTTGAATAAATAAGGTATACTATTCGTTGTGTCAAATTGTAGATTTCAACGGAAGTCTCATAAAGTTCAACGGAAAAAGCAGAAGACCCAGTGGATCAGTTCATTCTCTAGTCAGTTCATGCAAGGATTTCCGGAATATTAGCTTCCACTATCCTGTAATATTACATATGAGCCTGTTCTACTGATGAAGCCTAGGATGGCGAAACAAGGCTAATATTCCGGAAATCCTTGTCTTAGACTCTGTGAAAGGATTCTGTGGAACTGTAACAACCCTTCATGTGGATATTGGACTCTTTGAACAGAAAGGTGGTATAGATACTTTTACATGTATGGACCTTATGCATGAACTGACTAGAGAATGATTAGAGAATGAACTGATCCACTGGGTTGTCTGCTTTTTTAGTTGAACTTTATGAGACTTCCGTTGAAATCTACAATTTGATACAATGAATAGTATACCTTACTTATCATGTATCTGTAGAATCATAGAATCACAGAATTGTAGAGTTGGAAGGGAGCCCAATGGTCATCTAGTCCCCCCGTTGTGATGCAGGAAACTTGCCTACTGCCGTCCCCATGTGGGCTCAAACCGCCAACCTTCTGGTTAACAGCCAAGTGCAGCTGGCCCATTGTGCCAGCAGAAGCTTATCAAATCCAAATGCATGCTTTCCCCAAAACACCCCACCTGAGAGAATGCACCTCCATCCATATTGGAGAGAATGGAATGGAGTGCCCTAGAAAAGGGCATGGCTGGCTGGTTGGAACCCTGTATAGGAAAAGTATACCTGAAGGAACATCTCCACCCCCATTGTTCAGCCCAGACACTGAGGTCCACCTCTGAGGGCCTTCTGACAGTTCCCTCACTGTAAGAGGAAATGTTACAGGGAACCAGGCAGACGGGCTTCTTGGAAGTGGCACCAAGTCTGTGTAATGCCCTCCCATCAGATGTCAAGGAAATAAATGACTACACAACTTTTAGAAGACGTCTGAAGGCAGCCCTGTATCGGGAAGTTTTTTTTAATGTTTGACATTTTATTATGTTTTAATATGTACTGGAGGCAGCCCAGAGTGACTGGGGAAACCCAGCCAGATGGGGAGGGTATAAATAATAAAATTGTTGTTGTTGTTGTTGTTGTTGTTGTTGTTCCATGCCGCAACTTCTCCTGCTCCAGTTATGGCCCTTCCCCAAATCTGTAAACGGAAGATAGATAAAGTCGACTGAAAATTCTCTAATCAGTTAAAAGCCATATGTCAGGGAACTGCCATCAGTGCCGGAGGGAGAGAGCAAGCTCCAGAGGGATCCCAGAGAGCGTCCCGGGATTGGGAGAGGCAGCCCATCTTCTGGGGAAGGGAATCAGCTTAGCTCCAGTGGAGAAGGGGGGCAGATGGGGGAATCAGAGAGGCGGTCACATGACTCCTTGCCGGGGACCAGCGGGGAGAGGAAGGGTCCTCCGCTGCCTACGCCCTCCTTGCGCAGAAGGCTTCCGCGCAGGGAGAGTAGGAGGAGACTGGGCGTCAAAGAACTTCTTTGCTGGAAGAAGTTTAAGAAACGCCCACTGATGGATTCTGCCAGCGACTGAGACAGCCACGGGTGAGTGGCTGTCCGGACAGGAAAGGTTCACTCAGGCAACCCAGCCAGGTGTTGGCACAGGCTTACGCACGAGCAACCCCTAGAACCATTACACCATAGTTTCAAAGAGTGTGAGAGAGAAACCTGACTGGACATTTACCATTTCTTTACACAGACTATGTTATGTTCGACTAGGAGAGATATGAAAGTCAAGCCTGGCTTTGCTGGAACGCCAGCTCCTCCCTTTGATGTCCAGGTAGGAATATTTATAATGCAGGGAAGCCATAACAGTCAGCCTTAATAACCCGTGTTGCTTGAGTAAACACCGTGATGTGCCCTTATTGCTCAGCTAAAGAGACAAAACAGAAAAGCTCACATAACTGACGCTTGGGGTTCCATCTTTCTAGATAATAGATGAACATTGCAATCGCCTACCTCCTGGGGAAGAAGGAGACATTGCTGTTAAAATCAAGCCCAAAAGGCCCCTGGGTCTCTTCACCTGTTACGTGGTAAGAAACGAACCCTCTCAAATGATGGGGCAGCCTCCAAGGAATATAACAGAAGTGGGGAACCTTTGGCCTTCCAGATGTTCCTGACTGGACCTCCCATCATCCCTCTCCATTGACCATGATTGCAAGGACTGTTTGGTGTTGTAGTAGAGCAACATTTAGAGGACCACCCCTAGAATCAAAAGATAATGGGTGCTTTTTCAGCAGACGTTAATAAGGCTGGGTGGGGAACTTACAAACCCGTAAAATGCAAAGCAAGCTAGCAATCAGCTTAAATCATTTGCAGAGAACCTTTGGCCCTCCAGATGTTGCAGAACTACAACTCCCATCTACCCCAGAAAGCACAGCAAACAAGCTGGGGGTGATGGGGATTGTAGTTCAGGGCCAAAGGTTCCCTACATCTGGTTTAAACCAAACAAGTAAGGGAAAATATGATGCAGCAAAAATTGCTAGGAGAGTTCATACATCAAAAATTGTGTGTGGGAGGAGGGGGATTTTACCCCACCTTACTGAAAGATGAACACAACAAAACAGGTCAGGAATCATAGCAGTGGATCGTCCCATTTAACAGTGGAATGCCTGGGTAAGCAGAAATGTCTTAGCTTGATGTCTAAAAACTGGCAATGATAGTGCCAGGCATGTTTCCCTGGGGAGAGCATTCCAGAAACAAGGGGCCACCACTGAAAAAGCCCATTCTTGCATTGCCATTGTCCACACCTTCCTTGGAGAAGGCACTCAGGGAAGGTCCCCTGCTAATGACAGCAGAATCCATGTAGTTTGATGGAGAAAGATATTAGCCATCATGGCTATATGCAATCTCCAGGACCAGAAGTGCCGTGAGTTGTATTCCATGCTAGTTCTTTGCAGTTAACCAAATGTGAAAGTCCAAGCGTCTCTGTGTTAACGCAAAAGCCAACTTTTACCCAGGAAAGCACTCAATTTGAGAACTTAGAACGTTTAGCCTGTGTTGCTAGATCTGTGATGGGCCCTTCCCAAATGCAGGATACTGACTGATGCTGCAAGAATCAAGAGGTGAATGTGCCTTTGTAGCTTTGTTGATCTCTGCTGCATTGTTCTTAGGATGACCCTGAGAAAACAGCCGCAACAGAGCGTGGGGACTTCTACATCACAGGGGACAGAGGGTTCATGGACGAAGAGGGATATGTCCAGTTTGTGGCAAGAGCCGATGATGTTATCTTGTCCTCTGGGTATGCTTATTTTGTAAAACACTTGGCACAGCTGTTTTTTTTAACCGTGCCACAAGTATCTGCAATGCAAAAGTTGCAACATCATTAAAAGACTAGAGATCAAGCCAGCACTGTCCCTGGTAAAGTAACATCCATTGCATACATTTAAAGCTCATTTATTTCCCCAAAGAATCCTGGGAATTGCAGCTTGTTAAGGGTGCTGGGAACTGTAGCTCTGTAAAAATTAAACTACAGTTGCCAGGGTTCTTTGGGGGAAGCTGTGGGTGGTATTCAACTAAGTTTTACTCAGAGTAAGCCCACCGGAATTAACAAACATAACCCATTCATAACCCAAGTTAGGCCCATTCATGTCCATATGTGTGCTCTAAGTAAAATTTAGCTGAATGATACCCTATGCGCTTTAAAGTTAAAGTAACGCTAAGGAGATGCTTCTAAAACCACAAGTGTTTCTGTCTCACAAAGACAGGTCCCAGTCCCACACCCCACCCCAGCACACTTGGGGGTCTAGGGAGTGGAGAGAGGGGGGAAGCCCTATTCCACTACCAGAAACCTTTGTGCTGGCTTACACTCATGGGACCGTGCAGATGAATCCTTGCCCCTGGGGTGATGGGAGTTATGTTGTTGTTGTTGTTTAGTCATTTAGTCGTGTCCGACTCTTCATGACCCCATGGACCAGAGCACACCAGGCACTCCTGTTTTCCACTGCCTCCCGCAGTTTGGTCAAACTCATGCTGGTAGCTTCGAGAACACTGTCCAACCATCTTGTCCTCTGTCGTCCCCTTCTGCTTGTGCCCTCCATCTTTCCCAGCATCAGGGTCTTTTCCAGGGAGTCTTCTTGAGCAATATCTCAAGGGTCAAAGTCCTCCCCACACCTGAATCAGGGTGAGATCCCATCTTAGACCTATTCAGAGTAGACCCATTGAAATTAACAGACCTAAGTTAAACATGTTAGCACACACAAAGCTCTGCTTCAGGCTGATAGCTTGCCAAGATCTAACTTCTCCTTCAAATCCGAGGTATCGCATTGGGCCATCGGAAGTAGAAAATGCCTTGATGGAGCACCCAGCAGTGGCAGAAGCAGCCGTCGTCAGCAGCCCAGATCCTGTCCGAGGAGAGGTACGGTGCTCTCTCTTCTTCTTCTTCTTCTTCTTCTTCTTCTTCTTCTTCTTCTTCTTCTTCTTCTTCTTCTTCTTCTTCTATATGTTTGTATTGAAAGATTTTCACTAAGTAACAAAAATACATCCAGTGTCCCTATTTTCAAATCATTGAGCCCTTCATATAGGTCAGTTATAATCAGTTTGAGACATTTTTGTTATACGCAATGTGGGGTTGTAGGCGACGTGTAGCTCCACCTGTAGTATAAGCATGGAAATTGGAAGTTAAGGCTTCTATGTTCCTGCTCAGTCTGTGGTCCAGGAGCTAAGTGTGGATGGGCAGCTTCTAGGTCTCTGCGCTTCCTTCTGAGGGTTGTTCAACTTTGGACTGGTCAACCCTTCAAATACCTGCAGGGCCAATGGTACCCCACACCTGAAAAAGAGGGCACCTTCACAATAGAGGGCTATTCCAGGACATCCTAGGAGGAATGAGTCTCATCTTGCTTCCTCCCTGTTTCGTTTTCTACATACAGCAGGGGGCGGCTGTGTGTTCAAGAGAGCATTCAGTGATGTCTGCGCCCCCACCAGCAGCCTCAGGTGGGACAGCCCAGACCTATATTCCCCATCTCTGCAAGAGCTAGGTTTTTGTCAGAGAGGGAGGCAGGTACAGTTGATAGTATCATTGGAAGTTTCCTTATTCTGAGCCGGGCCATTGGTTCATCTAGCTCAGAATTGTCCTCACAGACTGGCAGTGGCTCTCCAAGTTTGCAGGCTGGGTTCTATCACAGCCCAGCCTGGAGAAGCTGGGATCTTCTGCAGGCAAAGCTCTAACCACTGAGCTACAGCCCTTCCCCTCCTTTCCTCCCCTTTCACACACACAAGCACAGCTATCAATTAACCTTGCCTCCATTCGCCTTCATTGTAGGTTGTGAAAGCTTTCGTCGTCCTGTCGTCCGTTTATCAGTCACATGACAAAGAACAATTAATTCTTGAACTGCAAACACATGCCAAGAAAGTGACAGCTCCTTACAAGTACCCCCGAAAGGCAAGTACAGTGTTCAGAATTACTCAGTGTCAGTCTCTGGATCTTGGGTGGAGGGAGAGACAATGATCTTCAGAATGGATTAGGAATGATCCTAACCTAGCAATGCTTCCAGACTCTGGTTTCAGACAAGAGTCACATTTCAAAGCAAACTTACCTCATTTGTGCTGTCCTTTGAAATTCGTGCTGCTCTGAATTTTACGATGCAGTTGTCCAATGGAGTTGTGCATTCAAAATGCATATACTGGAGTAAATCTGCATAGAAGTGCAAAAATGCATTATATTAAGGGGAGCTGATTTGCAAAAAAAAAAAAAAAAAGTTTATATTTGAAGAAATTTGCACACAAATGGTCGTGAATTTTCATGTGCACGTTTAGAAATGTTAATTCGCAAACTGATGTTGAAATGTGAAGAGTTGAATTTAAGACTGGAAAAATGAGGAAATGAGATAAATCCAAATTGACATATTCACCTGTCCTCTGGTTGCTGGGGATTGAACCTGAGACCTTTTGCATGGAGAGAAAAAAAGACGTGTTCTGCCACTAAGCTACAATCCCTCTCCAATGGTTCCTATTTAAATGTGTATTATCTCTCTGAATATATATTACTGTTATAATCCACCCTTCACCAGTAGGTCTCAAGCTGAGTTACAACCATTTAAAATCCAAAATTAAAAACTTTAAACCTAGTTTTAAACTCCAAGTTTGATACATTTCAACTGCCAGAGACCACTGCAGCATTAGGAGAAGTGTGAAGTCAGTACATTTGTCCAAGACATGCAATGGATCATTTCACAAAGGAATTTGCAACGCCTGAATTCCTCAACCATTCACATGCAGAAATTCAGCTGCTGTAGCTTTTTTGCTGCGTGGAGCTGAAAGGAGGGTCAAAAACTCCCATTGCTAAGCCTCTGGCTGCCTTACCCCAGATTCAAGGCCCAGGAGTCTTTCGAGGAGAGGTGGGGACAGGTGGTCATCCTGTGTTTTGTTAAGACTTGGGTTAAGATTCCTCTGTTCCACAAAAGTTGGCTTTTCACAATGACTAAATGTAACTCCAAAAAAAGTTGATGTGTTCAGTTTATCCCTCTCTTTTTAATCCTTCAAAACAGATAGAGTTTGTTCAAGACCTACCCAAGACAATTTCTGGGAAAATCCAGAGGAAGGAGCTGAGGCTGAAAGAGTGGGGGAAAGCCTAAGGAGACTCTGAAGCTATCAAAAAAGGACTGGTTGTCACAAGCATATCACCGATGGATAGATGATGATGCTCCATTTGCCTTGGTGGCTCTTGGGTTGCCATCATTGTACAAAATTCTAGTGTCTCTCGGGGCTATAAAATAAGAATTTACAGCCTATGGGATATTAATTGGCCTGTTGGTGTCCTTCATGGTCACTTAAATTTCTTTGCTGTATTATAAATTAATGGTTAATTATTGAAATGTATTGTGGTTATTGTGTTGCTGCTTTTGGGGTGTTACTCTTTTGTAAACTGCTTTGGATACAAGTTTGCAGAAAATGCAGTATAGAAATAACGTCATGATTATATTATATCATTATTATTTTATCATTATGAGCTGAAGAATTTCACCTCTCCCGTCAGTATATATCAGTATTGTCTTGACATATCTTAGGGAAGTAGCAAGAACTATATAATGCCAATCTGATTAAATGTGGAAAGTTGGTTTACACAAAATAGTGTCTAATGAGTAAAATGGCTTAGTAGCTTACACTGCCGTTGCAGAAAAATAAAAGAGCAATCTCATGAATTGTTACAACTTACACAATATATTCAAACCTGCATTGTAAGGACCATAAGCATAAATCACAGGTGATGAACCTTGGGCCTTTCAGATGCTACTGGACCATAGCTATCAACGTTTCCCTTTTTTTAAGGGAAATTCCCTTATTCTGAATAGGATTCCTCACAAGAAAAGGGAAAAGTTGACAGCTATGTACTGGACTCCAATCTCATCAGCCCCACCCTTGAGTTCCTTTACCAATAATTCAGGAAATTTCACCACTGTAACTAAGCCAAATTTTACTGCCTGTGTTTTCTGACTTGTGTATGGAAAAGCACATGAACCTGACCTTTAAAGAGTTTGTAAGTAAACTAATTTTAATTTGCTAAATGTGTGATCGTCTTCTATGCTAGGGGAAGAGGGGAACTTTGGATGAAATGTAGAAGGGCGTATTTTAAAGGTCTAACAGTCTATATTTCCACACTTTGCTTTGCTGCATATTATGTGATTTTAAATCTCTGCTGGAGTTCTCTAACCAAAGAGTACTTGTCCAAAGCCTAGATCTTGGCATCCAGGAATTATACCATTCCCCCACCCCCACCCCTTGCCACAACACTTTTTGGTCTAACTGGAATCATGTGTCATGATAGATTGTTTTGAAGTTAAGCTCAAAGGTCAAAGACTTTAAGATCTGCAACTGGGTTGCGTCAACCCAGTTGGATACTTCACCCACATATCTGAGGAAGTAGATGCTGGCTTATGAAAGCTTATGTCTTATTTTCTTTTTTTAATAAACACAGTCTTTAATGTGCCACAGACCCTTTTGTTCCCCTGACCCTGATACCACAGACTAACACAGCTACCTCTCTTCTGTTTTATTTTTTTACATGCAATTTAGACAAACAGAAACAGACAAAACTGCTTTAAAGAGTGGGTGAGAGAGGTGGGTTTTGTCAGCAAATGCAAGCTTATTCAGCTGGCTAGCTTGAGCCCAGATAAGATAGCCTTAAGCCTGGTCTTAAACTGGAAGGTTGTCTTTTAACAATCATGGATATTCTAGGGTCTGGAGTGGTTGCAACACTCCTGCAAAACACTCCTGATGTTTTCCTTTGAATTGTGTTCAGTCCACCATTCTCACCAATTCACCATGCATAGATTGGTATTAGTGGAAAGCCCATTTTGATGTTTCCACTGGTGAAAGTACAATTACCACATCCTGCGATGGAGATCTGAATGCAGGCCAGATGGAATCTCCACTACTTTGTCCTCTCTCTTTTTTTGAAAACATTGTGGTTTTTTTAATCATTTCCTTCAATGTAACAAGGAACAATAAAAAAAGGAACAAATAAATCAGTAATAAATAATACAGTGGTACCTCGGTTTACGAACTTAATCCGTTCCGGAAGTCCGTTCTTAAACTGAAACCATTCTTAAACCGAGGCACACTTTCCCTAATGAGGCCTCCCATTGCTGGTGCCCTTCCACTGTTCAGATTCCGTTCTTAGACTGAGGTAAAATTCTCAAACCGGGACACTACTTCCAGTTTTGCAGAGTTCATAAACCGAATCGTTCGTAAACAGGACTGTTCTTAAACCAAGGTACAACTGTAAAATAAAATAAAATAAAATCATCACACACAGTGTGGGTTATATACACATGTATGCACAACACAGGCATGTATATGCATGTGGTATACAGAATAATTTAAGTGACTGAAACTAAATAAAATAATGGGCCTATACAACAAGAAGAGGTACAAAATGTTTAGGACTGAGGTGAATGGTTAGACAAGAAAGGCAAGCGGTATCTTAGAGGATATTTAGTAAATCCAGGTTGTATGAGGTAAGTCAAGAACAGCATATTTTCAGATTTTTCAGATTCTATCAGTCCTCTGAGAAGCCTCTTTCAATGGATCAAGTTTTTCTTGGAATACCAAATTCTAGACTTCACTCTCCCTCCAGAAAGAACATAGAATTATGTTTCCAGTGGTGATCTATTTCCATCTTAGTAGCCAAAGGAAGAAATAAAATCAAGTCTTTGGGGGTTAAATCATTCATGTTATTCAGGAAGATAGAGCACAAACCAAACCAGGGTCAAGAGGAAGGATCTGACGAACAATAGCGGAGATTTGTTGGAAAACTTCACCCAAGACACCCAGGACAGGTCCAAAGGTAGACAAAGGTAACCATTCCATTGCACCCCCTCCAGCAACTGGGTGTGAGGTCAGCATTCATCTTAGACAGATATTTTGTTAAAGCAAAATAAAGCCTAACCTATCCTCTTGCTGACCAGTCTCTCTCATCCATTAATTTATTTTACAAATATTTTAACATAAATTAATGGACTAAGGGAGAGCTTTGGGATATAAGTGACAATCTAGTAGAACATTAACACCAGATTGCAGAACAATTGTAGAAAAGGGTTGCCCAATGTCACTGAATGGAGTAAAAGTTAATGTTTATGTTCTTAAAGCTTAAACCTTTTCAGCTAAATCTGACTCTCTTAAACTCTGGTGATTTTCCTTTTGCACTTCTTCCCAGAGTGTAGGATGTGGTAAGTATGTACAGGTATATATATATATTATACTATTTCTTGTTCCAGTCTGGAAAAAACTTAAGAAGTTTCCTTTAGCAAACTAGATGGCAGAAAATGGGGTTTCTGAATTTCAGACCTATAGATATGCGTCTAACAATGAAACAATCTAATCTGACATAAATATATAGGTCCCAGAGCCCAACTAAAGATAGTCACAAAAGCAGTCTGACTGAAATGAGCTATGACTAATATTTTCTTTCAGGTATTTTTTAAAAAAAAATTAACAACTTTAAACGCAACTATTTTTTTAATGGATCAGAGCAAACTCAGGTTGTGCATTTAAACCTGATTTGGTTATCTTGCTCAAGAGACCTGACCCTGCCCACTGGACTCTTCGCTATAAGAAAACAGAGCTGGAAAATGCACTGTGGTGTAACAATTGCTTGATGCAACACTATGTAACAAATCACCAATATTCAGTAAGCAGTTGACATTATCTACTCTCTGCCGCCCACAAACATAAAGTCTAGTTGATGCTCATGAGCAGCTAACTTTGGGGCATTCCGGTCTACCACTAGCACACTTTATCGATGAGGTCCATTGCAGGTTGTACATTAGACACCGTTAGCCTCCTATTTTCAGCATGAGACTGAAGGAACTAATACTCTGAGCTCTTAATTTCTGCCCTGAAGAAAGGTCCTGGATTTAGAGTGAAGTTGCATTGCATCGTCCCAGTTGCATCGTAGCATCCGTCTTTCTTTTCCATATACTACGACAACAGTGTCCATTTTGTTTTCTGTTCTTGATCAGAATTTGGAATGTTCTTTTTTATCCTTTTGGTTTTCCATCAAGGCAAGATCATTCACGGCAGCTGCAATGAAGCATCTCTCCAGACTTTTAAAATCTCTGAGTGCCTCCAAATTGCCCTATAGAATTAAAAGTCAACCTTGCAGTGGATCTCCAGATTTGGATTTCTCCAATTATGAAGCTCTCTACAAGAATGTGCCCGAACATTTCAATTTCGCAAGCGATGTGCTGGATAAATGGAGCCAAAAGGAGAAGGTATGAAACTCTGTCTGTCATGATTTCTTCCTAATATTATCAATCAATCAATCAATCAATCTTTATTACGGTCCAGAGACCCAACAAATCATTACAAATCAATACACAATTTTGTTGCATTGTGCCAAATATGAGCAGGCCAGGGCTGAACTGATATTACCCTTGCTGGTACCTTTCCCGGGAAAATCAGAGGCTCACTATGTCAGGTTCCTACTGGAAGACCGGACAAATGCTAGAACGTTAGCAGTGGCAAAGTTTTTATCGGTGGCTGCAAGAACAAATGAGCCCTATATTCTAAACAAAATGCTTGACTAATATTATCAGCCAGCCTTTCTTTGCTGTTTACAGTCAACAGTCATTGCAATAAAAACAATTAATCCAGGTGGAAGTTAGCATCAATTTTCCAATCCGCAAATCA